GCTGGGATCAGTCCAACCAGAAGGAGTCAAGACTTAAGTCTTCTCAGACGGTTCTCCACCTTGTCCAGAATTCTGACAAGCGAGGGAAGTGCGGGTCATCCAGGTGAGTAGTATGTACTCAAGATGGGTTTGAACTTAATTTTAAGCCTGATATAAGGTTTTGTGGCCTGCTATCAAGTAGGAAGAAGGTGTAAGATTCGTCTTAAGGCAGTACGTTCTTGACTGCTTTACTTGCCAGGTTAACCACGTGACCTTTCATAGTCATTGAAGAGTCATTCCCCAAGATGTCTACTTGGTTACTCAACACTGGATTGTACCTACTCTCTTGTATACCTGCCCCATTTGTAATATGATATCTTGTTATCACCGTCGCCTGGTTGTTTATGCTGCAAATGTGACTCTCCATCGCCTAGATGGGTACTGTTGAAGGTCGGTGATTAATGAATCTCGTAGCAGTTGGTATTTCTTCTTCTCCATATGTAAAAGTGAGAGTGCAATCATCAGCACAGGCTTGAGCTTCAGGGATGAGGTGTAGTACATCGTTGAAGTAGACGTTACAGAACAAAGGGCCAAACACACTGCCCTGCGGCACATGGGCATCAATTGAGTGTTTTTCAGAGTCTACTCCAATGAGGACAACTGTTAGGAGTCCGTTCTTGAAGGTAGTCCCATATTGTTGACCAGACCACACACTAGAAGGTGAAGGGACGACGACGTTTCGGTCCGTCCTGGACCATTCTCAATCGACTTGAGAATGGTCCAGGACGGACCGAAACGTCGTCGTCCCTTCACCTTCTAGTGTGTGATCTGGTCAACATACTTTAGCCACGTTATTTTGACTCATCGCCTGCATAGTCCCATATTAACAGTCAAATCGAAGCTGAAATACTAAGTTTCTGAAGCTTTGCTAATAGTCCAGAGTGTCAAACTAGATCATAGGCTCTTACAACATCACAAATTATTTTGGAATTATCCAGTGCCTGGTGCCACTAGTATGGAGGTTTAGCAAGAGGTCAGCAGTAGAACGACCTTTCCTGAAGCCAAATTGACAGCCACATAGTGACCGATGATGGCAAAAAAAAAAAAGGTTTCATTTCCAGAGAGATTAATGTCTCAAATATATATCTCAGTCTCCGTCTCTCTCTCTCTCTCTCTCTCTCTCTCTCTCTCTCTCTCTCTCTCTCTCTCTCTCTCTCTCTCTCTCTCTCTCTCTCTCTCTCTCTCTCTCTCTCTCCTCTCTCTCTCTCTCCCTCCTCTCCGCTGGGTTGTGTTTACAGTCTCGTCTGTGTAACTATGAGCAAGGTCGAAAAAGGAATTAATTTGTCCTGTGGCAAGGTATCAACGACTCACTTGTGAAAGATATATATTAAAAACTGAAGGATTCGTGACATGGAAACTAAACTTACTGGATGGCGTTGCAGTATGAATGGGATCGATTCCCTCGGGTCTCGAGCCTCGAGACCATCCTTGCCTTCTGAGAAAAGCTATTGGTAGGCCTAGGGAGGGCCTCTGTAGGCCTAAAATAACAGGTTTCCTGTCGCCAGGTAAACGAAACAATGCCGCCTACTGCAGTAATGAGTTTATCTGTTGATTACAAAATGTATGACTTTATAAATGAATTTACTGATTTTGCAAAAATATTATTAAATAGGAGGCGAAGCAATATATATATATGAAAGGTCATGTTTCAGCCCAAAACTAGACTTTTTTTCAGGCGATGAGTCACAATAACGTGGCTGAAGTATGTTGACCAGACCACACACTAAAAGGTGAAGGGACGACGACGTTTCGGTCCGTCCTGGACCATTCTCAAGTCGTCAATAGACTTTTTTTTTCTACAGTTGCCTGGACTGAGTAATATCTTGCGAGGAGGGGCGGACGTTTTCAGATAGTTTCCTGTATTGTAATCGAGGGTTCGAAAACCTTTTACTCGGTGGAATGGTTTTGGCCATGTTTTCAAGCTAATTTTATTACCTGATGTTTTTCATGACTTTTCTCTGTTTTTTTTTTGCTGGTTAAAGTTCAGGTGTGTATTTTGCTGGTTAAAGTTCAGGTGTGTATTTTGCTGGTTAAAGTTCAGGTGTGTATTTTGCTGGTTAAAGTTCAGGTGTGTATTTTGCTGGTTAAAGTTCAGGTGTGTATTTTGCTGGTTAAAGTTCAGGTGTGTATTTTGCTGGTTAAAGTTCAGGTGTGTATTTGCTGGTTAAAGTTCAGGTGTGTATTTTGCTGGTTAAAGTTCAGGTGTGTATTTTGCTGGTTAAAGTTCAGGTGTGTATTTTGCTGGTTAAAGTTCAGGTGTGTATTTTGCTTTTGTGAATGTATTTCTTACTCTTTTTTATGTGTGTGTTTTTCTTCAACTCAACACACCATCTGTAGGAGTTTTCTTGGGTTTTAAACACAGTTTTGTACATGTATATTTTCGTATAATTAAAAACATAAAATTGTTTTCATTATTAATTATGTTACACTTCAGATATTACCAATGGAATATAATAATAATAATAATAATAATAATAATAATAATAATAATACATATAAAATATGGTATTTTAATTAAGTTCGCTTGTGCAACTTTTTATTAATAATTCAAAAGTGTATAATTTTATATATATACCGAGAGATAGACTCCCGCTTCTCGGTGTATATGTACTGAGAGTATACTTTAGTCCTGGACAATGGTCAGGACTAAAGTATATTGACCAGACCACACACTAGAAATTGAAGGGACGACGACGTTTCGGTCCGTCCTGGACCATTCTCAAGTCGATTGTCGATTGTCCGAACGGATAAGGACGGACCGAAACGTCGTCGTCCCTTCAATTTCTAGTGTGTGGTCTGGTCAACATACTTCAGCCACGTTATTGTGACTCATCGCCTGCACAGGACTAAAGTATACTTACTGGCTGGTCAGTATAAGCTGTTGTGGCGGCCTTAATGACCCTCCAGAGGTTGTTATAGGCCTTTTCATACATACACAAACATGTGACAGTGTCAGACCACGGAGGAAAATTGAAACAGGAATTTCCTGTATGTATGAATCATACAGGAATTTGTGTATGTATGAAAAGTTTTTCATACTGGTTTTGTTTCTGTTTATATTTCTAATAAATAAATCCGTCGCTCTACCGTCCAACCACTTGGGCTGGACGGTAGAGCGACGGTCTCGCGTCATGCAGGTCGGCGTTCAATCCCCGACCGTGCAAGGGGTTGCGCACCATTCCTTCCCTCCGTCCCATCCCAAATCCTGACCCTTTCCAAGTGCTATATAGTCGTAATGGCTTGGTGCTTTCCCTTGATAATTCCCTCCCTCCCATATCCACGCTATATGAATCTTTCTTCGTTTAAATATAGCAACAGAAAACAGAATTCGAATCAATGAACAGAAATGTGAGAAGTTTTGATTCATAAAGGCCCTGGGTAAATACTGGTTTGAAAACAGTGTTCTCGATTTATGGAACAAATTACCGGACGTGGTAATTAACAAACTAAATGTAGGATCTTGGATGATTTCAAGCGCAGATTAGACGTATATATGAATGAGTTTGGGTGGATACAAATGAAAGCTGCCTCGTATAGACCTTACGGGCTCACCATAGCCCGTGCTACATGGACACTCTGAGTAGCTAAATCTGAAACAACAACTACCAACAGAACTTCTACAGTTTCCTGTATTATTATGTTCTTATGTTTTGGGGTTTCTAATTTAGCTTTGAAAATCTACGTTATCCTTCGTTTTCTATTTCTCTTATTTACGAAATGGGATAAAACTTTAGGTTAAGTTAGCAGCTTAGTGTCATATCTGATTAGACGAACTTGGGTGTAAGTTTAATTGTTGTCCAGTAAAGTTATAGGAGAGTATGGTTATAGGAGGGATAAAGTAGAGGTTATAGGAGGGATACAGTAGAGGTTATAGGAGGGATAAAGCAGAGGTTATAGGAGGGATAAAACAGAGGTTATAGATGGGATAAAACAGAGGTTATAGGTGGGATAAAACAGAGGTTATAGGTGGGATAAAACAGAGGTTATAGGTGGAATAAAACAGAAGTTATAGGAGGGATAAAGTAGAGGTTATAGGAGGGATAAAGTAAAGGTTATAGGAGGCATAAAGTAGAGGTTATAGAAGGGATAAAGTAGAGGTTATAGGAGGGATAAAGTAGAGGTTATAGGAGGGATAAAGTAGAGGTTATAGGAGAAATAAAGCAGAGGTTATAGGAGGGATAAAACAGAGGTTATAGGAGGGATAAAACAGAGGTTATAGGAGAGATAAAACAGAAGTTGTAATACCATTGGAGCCAATAGCTGCCGGCAGTATTCTCACAGTACCCTGGCCCTAGTGGCCAGCCTCTCTTCTTTCACAACCGTGAAAATATCAAGCTGTTTTTTTTACAGTGAGTTGAGAGGAATGTGGGGCCGGCGCCCCCTCGGTGTCCAGTAATATTGGATTATCTTATCTCCCTGGGCGAGCAGTCCCTCTCTTCCTCCTCCTCCTCCTCTCTCTACCTCTTTTGTTACTGCCTTTCTTCTTGCCTTGGCACGTTTCTCTTTCTATGTGAAGTTGAACTTGATTGGTTAATTATGTTACCAATCGTTTGGTAGTATACCAATATTATATATATATACATATATATATATATATATATATATATATATATATATATATATATATATATATATATATATATATATATATATATATATATACTACTACCCCTATTTTATTATTATGTTGCAGACTTTGTTATACTACAAGGATACACAGTTACATAGCTGATTGGTCACAAAATATGGACAATAAGAGGAAACAATAGGGGAAGTCTGTTTCCTACAGGCTAAAGATTTTTTTCTAACTCCTCCGACGCCGGGTGGGAACCGAGGATGCAGCGGGCATTCCCCCTCTGGATCGCCACACTCCGGTGCTGGAAGAGAAAGCTTGCTGCTTTAGGGTCTCTTGTTTTTTCTGAGCCTGGAACTGAGATCTTTGAGAAATCTCTTTGCGCTCTCTCCCCATGAAACAAGGGTCTCGGATTCTATTGGAGCGAAGTTGTACCGGTGATCTATTTCCCTGTACTTGGTTGATTTGTCTCTTTCTCTGTGTGTCGCCGC